ACCGATAGAGACTATGTGAGTTATAACATAGAATTCGATGTCTGCCCCACATTGAAAAGGGGTGTCCTTACTTGCCAAGGCAAGAACCTTAACTTCTAGCTTACGTGGATCCACTAACTAATGTCTATCTAAGTCAATCTTCCTAGGGTGGAACATAGGTATGGAATAAGGAGATTGCTACTAGAAACCCGACCTCTAGCTACGGGAGAGACTCCATCTCAATATCATCTCGGTGTTAAGCATAAATCCCACGGAATAGTCATAATTCTTTACTTGACTTATTTTTAATGGAAGGCACATCAAATTGCCAATCCAAGCTATGTTTCATTAGAATAGCTCCTAAATCTTGATTCAAACTCTAGTTGAGCAAACCTTTCAACTCTAAGAATCCTTATGTGAGAAAACTCTTTCACATGCATGTATTGAGTAGTATGTGAGAAATCCTTTCACAACTACAACATTTATGCTTCACTCTCAGAGCAATCTTAAATCATTTTCATCACTTTCATAAAAAATATGCATATCTTCATAAACTCATCTTTCATAGTTCAAAACCCACATTATATCATCTTAGCTTAGAAAACATGATTTAGGCATGGCTTCATGGGGATTCATCTTGAAAACATGGAATTATCTTAATTCATGCATAATAATTTGTCGTTTCACCGTATGTGGTCCTTGATTAGAGGCTAGGGGAGAAAACCCCTTAAAGTGGCAACTTGACGAGCCCTTGGACAGCCCGTCAACCTCACCACATGTCATCTAGGCTTTCGTGGGAGGGACATCTGCATGGGCAAGTTCTGGGAACTCTTCACGAGCACCCAAACGGACCGTGGTCCCCTACACTGCCCGTCTAGGGCTCCGTGGAGGGTTCCATGGTCCACTCTTGGGTTCTTGACTTACCTTTTTTTTACTCCTTTCTAGCCTTTCTCTAATCTGAGGTGTTACAAAATTAGTATCATATATTATATTGGTATCATAAAGGCTGATAATTTTCACTTAACTGATACTAAATAAATATCATACACTGTATTGGTATCATTAAGGTTGATTTCACTTAACTTGATACTAAATCAGTATTTATATATATATATATATATATATATATATATATATATCATTAAGGTTTCTTCTTCGGAAATTAATCATTCACTACAAAAAGTAGGGGGTATTGCGACGGTTTTTCATACGTAATACAACGGTTCGAAACCATCACAATTCACTTTAATGGCATTTTATAAATACGTCAATATTCCGTCTGTCACAAACATATTATGATGGTTTTTGAAAAAATCGTCGTAAATATATATTATACCGTTGCACTATAAACTTGTTATTGCGACATTTTGTATTGTATAGAGTGGCGATTTACAACTGTCATAATTGTAAAAAAAATTGAAATCTTTTTTATGTATTACGGTGTTTTTAAAACGCCGTAATGTTCAATTCGTGACGCCGTAAATAATTATGTTTTTCAGTTTTGTCAATCAATATTTACATCCTATTTATTGCATCTTATATATTTAAATTTCTATAATCGATAATTTAATCACAACATAAACGATCAAATGAGCAAAATATTCATTACATAAAAACATAAGTACTTCAAAATTACATCATCAAAATACTACTGTTTTGAATTGTTATTCAAAATTCCAAAATTACATTATCAAAAATATTAATTTCAAAGTATCATTCAACAAGAATATCCAACAGAAAAAACCCCAAAAATGCTAGTCCATTATCATTGTTACTTTCATCTGAAGATTTCTAATCGATGTTTGGTCCAATTGATGATTGATCATTAGTACCACCTTCTATATTTGATGCCTGAAAAAGAAAAAAACATTAATTAACAAGGAAGCTAATGATCATACTTTAAAACTATAACAGAAGTATCAAAGAATGACTAGAAGTGTTAAAACTTAGATAATTATGACTAATCAATTGGTAAGTATCAAGAATTGAATTATCATTTGTTTATACTAGTGTTGTGGGAGTATATCATCGATGTTGGCACACATCATTACAACAATAATGCCAACATACTTAATGTCATCCCACAAAAGTCAAAGTAGCACACCAAACATATTAAAACTGATTAGTGTTAAATACATTAAAGAAACCGATTATCCCAATTTACTTAAAAGTGGGTATCATGAATATTCTGGATACCCAAAGCCACAACAACCTCAAGAACCAAACTAAACGAAAAGCCTCTCCAACATACAAAAAGTGTTGTTGTAATATGTATTTTGTTGAAACTGATTTCACAAAATTGTTTCTTGTTATCATCATACAATACAAACAGGGGAAAGAAAATACAACACATCATCATCAAGATTGAACCTTTATTGTAATATGCAAATACCATATAGTTGTAACACCCCGACTTTTCGAAACGTCTAAATTAACTCGTACTTTCATGGAAAGACAAAGAGGGTTAGTAATAAATTAAGAATGATGTGGTATGTCATATTTTAAGTGTTCAAGGGTTGTATCTCAAGTTTTGAAGTTAGGTAAGTGGCAAAATAAAAGTTGGCAAAAGTTATCGTAACTTCCTTTTGAAAGATTTCTCTGAAATTTGGGTCAAATGTCTCAGAGGTTTTCTCCCAATCTATAAATAGTTATGGGGACCACTTCCTATCAAATCGAAGGTCTACGAGTCTAGTGTCCAACGCATCAAACCATTCATTCATACAACTTTAGAATAGATATTTACATTTTTGCGAGACTGCGCAAGCAGGCACATGAGGTGGGGACCTAGGTCGGTAGAACTTTTTATATATCTTTGTCTTCGACTTTTTCTTTATTTTTTAGTTAAGAACCTGAAAACTTAGAAAACCCATTTCTAGGATCAACCAAATTATAGATTTTCTCGACTTAAATCCTTGATGAAAGTTGTTCTACGCGTTGAGCTCGTCATCATGGTATAATTTGTTTAATCAATTTCGTAGCATATCATACTTTGGTGTTGGGACAGCAAGGGTTTTGACATATTTTAAGGTTTTGATGTGTATTACGAACTTATGATCTAGGTAAGACCCTTCTTTCATCGACTCTAGCTTTGATAAGCCGCAAATAGCAATTTGCTACGGAAATACATATCTTCTATTTTTGTGTGTTGATTATGGTTCTGCCTTGTTGTAGTATCGAAGGGGATTATGAGTAAAAGTCATTAGGCCACGTGAATTCAGCGAAAAAGGTATGTTAAGCCTATTCCATTCTTACGTCATGTTTCTTTAAAGCTCAGGAGCAATGTAATTGGGTTGTTATCGTTGTTATACTTGTAACCATTATTGTTGATTGTTGGCTGCTCGAGTGGATATAATCCTCCCTTGTCGGGATTCTTATTCAGTTAGTAGCGTCCCTATGTTGGACACGACTTAGAGGCTATTCATATAGGTTGCTTATAGCTAAATTTCTCATTTTTAGCCTATTGGATTGTTATTGTTGCCCTTGGGGCTATTGTAGTTAGCTGAGGAATGTGATTCATGCCTAGAAGGGTTATGTTCTGCCTAAGGGGCTATATTGATGCCTAAAAGGGCTATGAGTTGTCTATGGGGCTATATTGATGCCTAGAAGGGCTATGAGTTGCCTACGGGGCAATATCGATGCCTAAGAAGGCTATGTGTTGCCTACAGGGCCATGTTGTTGCCTAAGAGGGCTATGAGTTGTCTATAAGCTATATTGATGCCTAAGAGAGTTATGTGCTGCCTACGGGGCTATATTATTGCCTAAGAGGGCTATATGATTTCCTACGAGGTTAGGGGACTACCGATAGGGATATATAGACTAATTGGCACCTTCTAGGCTTATGGGGACCTGGGTAGGTGGTCTTGTGTGCTGTTTGTACCTGTCGAGCTTTTAGGGGTTTGGTTAGGTTGTTGTTTTATTATTTTTTATATGTTTAGATTTAGGAGCAGATCATTACACTTATTTTATCCTTGATTTATTTATCGGATTACTCCAGTATATTAGGATATATGCTCATAGTTTATTGCCTTTCATAATCGGTACATTATTTCGTACTAATGCCTCATTGCCTAGGGTACTGCATTCATGCCTACAGGTCTCGACAGACGACCTCCTAAGCAGCAGAATTGACTTCTATCCGGTTGGCTATCCCCTTTTCTCCGGAGCCGCCATAGTTGGTTAGTTTTTATTGTATATATTTTTATGGGTAGGTTGGGGCCCAGTCCCGCCAATATTTATTACTCTTAGAGGCTTGCAGACTAGTGTGTGGGGTGTATAGCTACGTTATGGTCATGCTAGCCTAGTTTGTTGGTTTGTTGAAGCTTGTTAGTTGTTTGATGTATTGTATTGATATATACTTGTTTTTAGTTTCAGTATAGAGACCATGGTGGCCTCGACGACCCAATCAGGACTTTTGTGCTAGTTGGCTATTTCTTTATATGAACTCTTGGGAGTAGTTGTTTCTTTTATAGATCTATTGGCAGGGGCCTTGCCGGCCGAGAGCTTAATTTTAAGCCGAGATATACTTGTTTGTTTTCTTGATTGGGTGTGGTTGTCATGCACTAGTAGCAAATGGTTCATTGGAACCGCCGTAATACATTCGTCGTAATATTTTCGTTATTTTTTTAGTGATTAGTCAATGATACTATAAGAGTATATGTATATTGTTGTGGTATCACTAAGATTTCTTGTTGAGAAATTACTCATTAGTCAATGATACTATAAGAGTATATATATACTCTTATAGTATCATTGACTAATGAGTAATTTCTCAACAAGAAACCTTAGTGATACCAATACAATATATATATATTGATTTAGTATCAATCAAGCAAAATTATCAACCTTAATGATACTAATATAATATATGATGCAAAATTAGTTAAAGTATATAATATAATTATTTAGTAGGGTATGAATATAAATGAGTATGAATATTTATAATTATTTTACTTTTATGGGTATTTGCTTATTTTCCCCTTTAATTAACCCAAGTCCATAATCCATAGAGGAGGCGCTAAAAAGTAAGGCCCAAAATCTTATCACAGCAGAGTTTGTTGTTGGGAAAACAAAGAATAGCCACAGCCCACACTCACTCCTCTGTCTCAGCCGTAAACTTGGCATATCTTTCTCCGGCGAATTCCTCGACGATCTTTGTTTCTCCCCAAAAACAGGGCTGGTAATGTTCCCTTCTCTCTCTCCTCTTATCTTTTGTAGATTTTTTTTACATCTGTGTATTTGGACTCAGCTTCAGTAATCCCCTACAGTACTGAGTAGTTCTACCCAAACTCTTCAACCGCTAGGGCACCCCCTTAGTTCCAATCATTTTATGCAATTCTCTAAACATTTATTCATCTTTTGTATAAAAGAAGAAAATTGGAATTACACAATGAAACCCTAAAATGTGAAACTGATAAATTTTACACTTTATGTGAGTTTATTTTATTGGGTACCAAGTTTAAGACAGGTCTATGAAACATGGTTGTCCAAAACAGGCTATACAAGTGTCTCTGGCTATAAATTACTATCTCATTAGGGGTAAATGAAAAGTTTAGAGTTTAATTCTTTCTAAATATAGACAAGTGTCCTTTTGGGACAAACTTAAAAGGGAAAGAGTATCACATAATTTGGGATAGAGAGTAATTCATTTTCCGTATCTTGTTACAAATAATTTCATGGCAATTTTTATTTTTTTTGGTAACCTGCCTATTTTCATTCATAACCAAAATTGTATCTTTACAAACAGAGTAGTATTGGACTAACTACTCACTCATCAATACAAACAAAATCTACTAACCTATAACCTTCTATACAAATACATCCTAAATAGATCAGCGATTCAATTATATATAGCTAATCCGAAACTAAGGGTAGATTTCATGTCAATTTTGGTCTTGAATGTTGAGCGTGGTGATGTTGTGAGATTAATGTATAACATGTTGTGATAATTATCACCTATAATGACCAAAAATTTTGTTGCCAACCAAGATCATTAATTATGAAGTATTAATAGTAGGGTCTATATTAGTTGGAAATGGAAATGGAAATGGAAATGAAATTGAGATTATTCTTTTATAGGATTAGCAAAAAACCTCTGCTTGGGAGTTGAAATAGCCATTTGATAATATCTATAATGGATTTGGAACTTTATAGTTATTTTTCCTCGCATTACTTTGTAGTGTTAATTGTTACTTATCTTAATTTTTTTCTTCATCGCGCCTCTTTTACTAAAGTTCGTGCTTTAATTGAGTTTGAATTTAAAGCTGCAGCAAAACTTGGCACTATTTTACTCTCTTCTCCTTTGACAACATTTCTCAATCATCTCATCTACTTCAAATGTAAACTGTTTTTGCACACTTCCCCTTTGAAAACCATGTCAATGTGTAACAATCATATGTTCCTTCACCGTAGAGTTATTGCCCTAATATAGTATGTGTTTCAAAACCTTATCCAAGATCCTTGGGTGATGCCTGTGCATATTGCGGACCTACTAAGCTGCTGGATGAGAAGAGGGGGGAGTAAAACACAGAAAAAATGGTGGAATCTAGTTCCATCTTGCATATGGTGGTCAATTTGGAGGGAAAGAAACAATAGATGTTTTAAGAATATTACTAACCCTATGCAGAAAGTAAAAGAAAGCTGCATTAATACTCTTTTTTTGGTGTATAGAAGAGGGTATAGATGAAGTAGATCAGTTAGTAGATTTCCTAGGCTCTTTTGTAATTTTTGTTTGGTTGCCAGCATACCTTCATTGCCGATGAATACAACTTTACCATTCTCAAAAAAAAAAAAAAAAGTCAATGGTAAGATTATCTAAGTAGGGTGCAATTGATTATTCTGTGCAGAATTTTAAACGGTTTTGATTCCAGAAAATGTGATTTGAAATAGAACATTAAAAATGTTTTTTGACACATCTCAAATGCAAAGCGGTAACAGAGATCATACAAAATGTTCATGCGATATTGCAATTTTTTTGGCATGCCAAAATTTAGTATTGATTTCAATATTGTGAGCGGGAAGTATTTATCTTTTGAAAAGAAATTTGGTTGTTACCAACTGTGGGCATTTTTAACAATTAAGATTCACGTCTGCAGTTAAGGAATCTGCTTGTGGAATATGCCGTATCTGGTTCGTGATCATCTGTTTATTGGCAACATAGGCGATGCAGCGGAGGTTCTTCAGCATGGTAGTGATGAAATTACACATATCTTGTCCGTCCTTAGCTCAGCTTCAATCTCCTTTTTCTCAGAATGGCGTTCTGGGATTTCGATACCAACCAAGGAGATCCGGAAGGAATATGTTGGGTATTCGGGAAATGCAGATGCTATAACTGATGAGACTAAGAGCTCATCAACACCTAAGAAGCTCCTGTACTTGCTTGAGAATGCAGGGAAAGATTTGAAGTTTATAAGGATGGCTGTGCCCTTGAGAGACATGGAGAATGAGAATTTGCTGGATTCTTTAGATGTTTGTTTGGATTTTATCGAAGAAAGTAGAAAAGAGGGGTCTGTATTGGTGCATTGCTTTGCTGGTGTATCAAGAAGGTATTGCTTCTACATGGCTCGTATGCTCATTCTTTTAGGGGGTTGGTTACGTCCCAACTTCTTGGTGCAGTAAATTAGACGGGGCATTCTACTAAGTCCTGATGGACCTTCACCCAGTAGAATGGTCATATATTACAAAAAAAACATTTATGAATGTTGAAGCTTATACTACATCTTAGAAAATGGAAATACTCTTGCAAAGTATGTTGTGTGTGTGTATGTGACTTGGCATAAAGTTTTAAAAAGAAAGTAATACTTTTGAAACTTGTGGTAAAACAAGCCATTGAGGTTTGTGTGACTATAAATCATCTAACTAAGGATAACATGAGAAGTTTAAAGTTAAATTATTTGTAGATAAGAAAAGGTGATATTCTTTTTGTAATAGACTAAAAAGGAATGTATGCCACATAATTTGAGACTAAGAGAGTATTGTTTTTTTAAGAAGTTGCAGCTCCTTTCCTGTCCACACAAAAGCAATATATTCAGTTTTTCTCCAACCTAAATGTGGATTAACCAGCTTAATTTGGATGTGTACTGATTCTTGATGTTCTCAAGTCTCATTTCATATGGAACCCTTTTTTTAAAAAAAAAAACTTGCTGATATTATAACATGATCTTCACTTTGACTTCTAGTACCAATGCACCATCTGTTTTTGGACCCTATTCCGTTATCAGGATTCCTCTGTAATTGGATGTACTAAAATCTGTTTTAAGTTGCTTTAGCTGACCTGGGAAGACTTCTCACCAGTTGAAAAAGTGCAATTCCTCGTGAAATGAATATAGGTTGAATGATACAATAAAAAAGATGTGCCAGATGTGGACATCTACCTTTTAGTACATTGAGCAGTCCGTGAGCTATTCATACCTATTGCAGAGGATTCAGATTCATACAATGGTTCCTTTTGCTTTTTTTCATGAATCAGTTGAAGTTAACTTACTGCATAGGCTGCTGCTTCGCTATAAAAATGACAACAATTTGTCAAGGCTTAGTACCTGCTACTTTAAGCAGTTACATGCATTCTGAACCTTAACCTCGGGTTCTTTCTTTCTTTTGTCAAGATAAAACTCATCCATTAATATCAATTATTGAGTTTTGGAAGATGAGATAGGGTATATTGCTTATCAATTAACTTGCCAAACTAGTAAAAATGAATTTAGTTTCATTTCAATGTAAAGATACGAATGGTTTGATTTGTTACCATTAAGAGATAATATGCCGCTTTCAGAGTTGAAACATAACTTTGGTAACAGGCTACTGAATAGGACTATTACAATGTACAATATTTTTCCTTTTCTTTTTGGGTTGAAGATATTTATGTTACTCTCTTTTATATATTTATCAATAAGACAAGCATAAACATGGGGTCTAAAATGATGATCCTTGCTTGGCGAAGATGAAATTGGTCATAAATTAAGATTCCATTTCAAACAACTTGGTCAAAAATCAAGATTTTCATTGGCTAATACTGTTTGTTCTTTTTGGGTTGGGAAGGGGGGATAAGGACCTAGGTTCTAGGGCCTAACTCTATCATTTATTCGATCTTTCTGCTTAGATGCAAAAACTCCCCTGCACTATTAAATTTTGACTATAGTAAAGTTTGAGTTTTACCCATAGCGGTCAATATGATCAATCACCAGCATAAGTTTGTAAGTTTCTTTCTAGGTTCATTATTTGGCTTCATTATAGTCTCTGGTTATGTTACAGTGAAGTGGAAATTCTGATATATTTGGCCTAACCAAACCTAAGAAATTCATCTATAAACAAATGAACTGCTGCTCATTTCATTTTCAGTTAAATTGTGTTTGATGGTTGCCTAACTTTTCACCTACTTTGGGCATAATTCCATACATATTGTTGCACGATGTTTGTGGTTGTGTAAAAGAACAGTAATTAAGTTATCTCCAATAAGATTCTTTTCCACTGCCATGGTTATTATGTACCTTTCCACCTGAATGTAAGAATGCTTGGAGATGCTTCCTGGCCTATGGCTCTAATGGAGGGCAAGCAGTCTAGGTTTTCTTGGTAAATTTTCTACTGCTTACAATATCCTGCTAATTTTTGACCAATTGACACTCTTGTTTGCTCTTTTGGTTTCAGTGCAGCCATCATTGCAGCTTACCTGATGAAAACTGAACAACTATCTCAAGAAGGTTTGATCAATCTCTTTATTCTGTTTCTACTTTGGGCCTTCACTATGGAATACCGGAGAGCATAATTTCAACACAGTAACTGTTGGTGGCTTCCGTTTGAGCTGCCTGAAAAAATTGCACAATTTGCTAAGAATTAGAGATTATTCTTCTGCTTTTATGCACCTTGAAGATCATCCCTTTGTCCTTATTATTGTTTGAAATTTCTTCTGCTTTGTTTCTACAGATGCGATTGAATCTCTACGTCAAAGCTGTGAATTTGTCTGCCCAAATGATGGTTTTCTAGATCAGGTGAAATAGGCAGTAAGAAGTGATTTGTAAGCAACACTTTATGATCATTAATGAAATTAGTTTCCTGCTTTGTCCAGTACCTGACCGGATTCTGAGTGAATTTTGTATCTTTTGTCTGCAGTTGAAAATGTTTGAACAGATGGGTTTCAAAGTAGATCATGCAAGCAGCGTTTACAAACGCTTCCACCTTAAAGTCCTAGGTCCACTTTCTCACTTTTCTTTGTCTATCGTCAGATTATTATTACTTATTACTTAACTACATAGAAGATAGAAAATGGGGAAAATCCTGAATATGCAAGGTACGTTAGGTAGGTTTGTTTTCGATCGATCCAATAATTTGTACAAACTTAGAGTGCATTGACTGAAGGATATGGGAAATATTATCTCTCATAAATCTCTTCTTCATCGATCTCCTCTAAAATATTGGATATCTGATACAACTCAAAGTTGATTGTCGCCTTGATCACCAAAAAATTTCAGTTACTACAACTTTCATCATCAGGATTCACATGGAAAAAAGGTTATATTTCAGATCAGGGGGAAATCTTATGATCTTACGGAGACAACTTCTTTATCAGAGACATGGTATGATTGGGTGGAGACGGCGAGAATGTCGATCAGCAGAATGGTGCTTACTGCTTAGTAGGGGAGCTTTACTCTGTCTATGTAAAAGGCTCAAGGAAGCTTTTGAAAACAGAGGGAAGAGGTTAAAATATTGGAGATGCCTAGAGTGTTCGACTTATATTTATTACCCCCAAAAGTTCAATGAATATGGCCGTGTTTTTTCAGTTATAACAGTGAAGGGATAGGCTAGAACAGTAATCATTTTACCAGAGAATGCATTCAATGAGGGATGGGGTAGCCTGGCCATTAAAGTAGAAAAACTTCATTAAGAGAAAGACAGAAACATGCGGTGCATTTATTACAACAGGGGAAGCAACTATCAATACAGGCAATGGGGGAGTCAATTACCAAGAGGCATTACAAAAAAGTAAATGGAATCAAAAGGAGGCAGAAGTGTTTGAAAATGAGAAGCTTCTGATGACAACCTCGGGCTCAGAGGAGAATGAGCTTCTGCGCAGATGCCTAGTGGGAGATTCTGTGGTGGAGAAGAGGCTCCTACCTGCAATGAAATTCAGGAGATGGGCACAGCATACTTAGAAAGATGCTGCTAATATTTAGGTTTACGACATGATAGACTATAGCTATGGAACAGGGTGTTATAGCTATGGAACAAGGAGGTCATGAAAAAGATTAGAGCTGATTGTGGTGGTTGGTTGGAGAACGAGGAAGAAACTGAACTCAAAATCATCTGTGATGGGCTAGAATCAGAGTTCAAGGACCAAAAGAAAGATACCGTCGAAAATAGAGATCGCAGATTGTGATTTAATATATACCTTGCCGATATGGTGTGGTGTGGAACTCCGGTGACCTACAGATCGGCGATGGAGGCTGAAACCTCTGATTGAGGTGATAGCCAGGCTACAACAGAAATTGTAGTGGACAACTATACTCTTACAATAGACGGGATCTTACATTGAAAAGGAGAAGTAGCAGGAGAGGATAGCTTAGGGTTTGACATTAACAAGGACAAGGGAAATTTATCAGGGGCAAGTCATGTGTCAAAGGGGTGTGGGGTCCCTGCTGATTTATTAATAGCGGAATCCTCTTTTATTTTGATTGGGTAAGAAGAATCTTTTCAAGAAGGAGGTCCGATTCCTTTTTCTGAAACCAATAGACCGGTTGGGATTTTTAATTAAGGAAGTCCAATGGATTCACAAAACCCTTTACACATTCCATTTAAAGAAAGTTGGGCAAATCAGAAAAAGCCTATGAACATTCCAGTATTGACGGGGACACAGAGTTCTGCATGTGAATGGCAATAAGTCAGTAACTCCCAAGAACTCTCAGAGCCTCCCTGTGGATAATATGCAGATCAAAGCAATTACTTAAAGATGTGAAATAGTTTCAAGCGAGCTGGATAGCACTAAGTGAGTTGGCAGTGAGGGGGAAGAAGGCTCTATGAAGTTCTTTGGAGAACAACTGGTGGAGTATGAGGACCCTAAACCGTTAGCAGTGGATGACAACATTGTCGAAGATGTCATCAAATCACAAGCCATACTAAAGTTTCATCTCAATCTAATCAAACGTAGTCGTTTCTTTGTAGTCTCTACCAAGGGGTAAAAGTTTTTTTTAATTTTTTTTTAGTATTGTGCGGTACGAAAAAAAAAATTCTCTTTAATCATGAAATTGGAGCAGAACATGCCAAGGGAGAATCAGAAGTCAAAGGATAGCTCATCAATCAGTAACAACAAACAACAACAGTGTCCCAAAGAAATTTAGGGGGTGTTTGGATTAGCCTATTTTTAGGTGCTTTTGGCTTTTAAGCACTTTTTAGTTTGGAGGTGTTTGGAAAAGTTAAAAAGTGCCTTTAAGCACTCATTTTTAGGCCAAAAAAGTTATAAAATAAGCCAAAAGTAGGGTATCCCCTACTTATGACTTTTAGCTTTTGACTTATAAGTTACTTTTTATAAGCTTATCTAAACGGGCACTTAATTTTCAACATGAATTCAAGGATGGTGAGCCAAGAATAAGAGGGAGAGGACTAACTATTATGGAACAATGAGGATGAAATTAGTATCATCGAACGTTAGGGGTCTAAATGATGAAAGGAAAAGGGATTAATCAGAAATCTAATTAAGTCAATTGGGGGTAGATATTTGTATTTGAGTGGAAACTAAATTTGAGGGCAATGTTAGTAATTTGTTGCATACTATTTTGGAACAATCAATTGGGGGGGGGGGGGGTGTTGGAGGTAGTGGGGTGCAGTGGAGGGATCCTAATACTATGGAACAAAAGGGTCTGGTTAGGGGAGTTAGTAGAGAGAGAGAGTGGTGAACAATGCATTACTTGCAAATTAAGAGGTTAGAACTAGGATCTAACATGGTATTTGATGGCTTTCTATGCTAAGTGCAAAAGAATGGAGAGGAGGGAAAGGGTTCTTTTGATGGTAATTAGGAGCTATGAGAAATCTTTGTGAAGGGTCGTGGGTAGTGTGTGGTGACTTTATTGTCATCAGATATCCATCAGAAAGAACAAACCGTTCATCAACCAATGGGGCTATGTTAAAATTCTCTAATTGTATTGAAGAGGTGGAGCTTGATCCTTGTATATTTGGAGGGTCTTTCACTTGGAGAAGAGGAGAGAACCATACAACTGCATCAAGAATTGAAAGAGTTATGCTTCCTCTCAATGGGAAGAACTTTTCACCCTCATTAGACAATCGACTCTTCCAAAGTTGGTAGTTGACCATAACCCAATTCTACTGACTTGTGGAGACATGCGTCAAGATATCTTATGTCAAATTTGAAAATTGGTGGAGGCTTCAAGGAGAAAGTGAGTATCTGCCTTTTTGGTGGTCATCATTTGTAGTTACTTGTACAACCAGGCTTGTTTTAGCTGAAAGTCGAAACTTCTAAAAGGGAAATTGAAGGAATGGAGCAAGCATAGGAGCAACTGGTAACACAAGGAAGAGATCCTTGACTTGTCCAAATAGGAGATCCTTCAGGAGCAAAGATCACTTACAAATGATGAATTCATGCAAAAAATAAATTTGGCAATGTCTTTGAAGAAGTTAAAATGAAGAGGTAGGGTGGAGACAAAGATCCAAAATGCAATGGTTGAAACAGTGGGACAAGAACACCAAGTATTTTTCGTAGAATAGCAACATCACACAAAAGGTATAGCATCATAGACTTTGAAAGTGGAGGGAAGCAATATCACTGATCCTACCGACATAAAGATGGCCATCAAGAGTTTCTATCAATATATATAGAAGGAGGCGGAAGCTTGGAGGCCATAATTACAATTGTAGGGGTTACTTGTATTAATGAGGATGAGAAGGAAGAGTTACATAAACAAATTGAAGACAAGGAGATTCTAGAATGCACTAAACTTTGTGCTATGGATAGGCCCGATGGTTTTCTCATGTACGCCCCTGGTTCCAATGGTTTTCACATGTCCTTTTATTTTTATTTTCTGGGAAGTGATGAAAGAAGACATCAAATGTGGGATACAAGGGTTCTATGATAATCAGAGGACTGACAGAAGTTTCAATGCAACTTTTGTGGCTCTCATCCCAAAGAAAGCAGGTGCTTCTAGTGAGGAAGGAACCCTATGGAAGGAGGTGATAGTGGCAAAGTATGGGGAATTGAACCCATGGTGTACAGAGATAGTGTCAGAACCCTATGGATGGGGAGTATGGAGGTCAATCAGAGCTTTATGGAACTCTATGGAAGAAAATGTGTTTCTCAAAATTGGAAATGGCAACAAGATCAAGTTTTGGAGAGATGGATGGATTGATCAAATTCCTGTAAGTGAGTCATTCCCAGATCTTTTCTCAATCTGCAACAATCCTGAAGCCAGAGTATGTGAATGCTGGACAACTCAAGGCTGGGACCTATCCTTCAGAAGGCTATTGAATGACTGGGAAGTAGATAGAGTGGCTTCTTTCCTGGGAAAATTGGGGGGAACCAATCTAGTAACAAATGCACCAGATAGAGTTATTTGGAAGCACAACAAGGATGGCAAATTCACAGTAAACAGTGCTTACAAGAAAGGCATACAAGTTGGGGTTAGAGGCTACCATCATCACTGGAAGAGTTTGGAGAGGATTGATCCCCACCAAAGTGAAATGCTTCACTTGGTTAGTCATCAAAAGAGCCTGCTTAACTCAAGAAGTGCTTCAGAAGAAAGGAAAGCAACTAGTCCCTAGGTGTTTCCTATGCAATTTGACTGGGGAAACAAACAATCACCTATTTTTACATTGCAAATTCACTGCATAATCTGGGAGCTGTTTCTCAACATCACATGTTGTAGCTGGTCTATGCCAGAACACACCTCTGATCTTTTTAATGTTGGATCAGAAGAGGGGGTAGCAAGACTCAAAAGAAGTGGTGGAAGCTAATACCATCATGCATATGGTGGTCAGTGTGGAAGGAAAGAAATGGGAGATGTTTTGAAGATAGATCTAATTCCATTCACAAAGTAAAATGGAATTGTTTGGTATCTTTACTTTTTTGGTGTAAACAACTCTGCATAGAAGATGTAGATCAAATTATAGAATTAATAGGGAGCTTATAATTTCGCTTAGGGCTGTAAATTTTGAAGGTGGCCAGCATGTCCTTAATGCTGAAGAATACAACTTTACCAATGTTCAAAAAAAAAAAAAAAGAAAGCAGATGCTTCTGTATTGAAGGACTTCAAACCTATAAGTCTGACCACAAGCATATACAAGGTGATAATAGCAAAGATACTAGCTGAAAGACTGAAAATGGTGGTGGGTAAGTTGGTCAACAAGGATCAGATAACCTTGATTAAAGAGAGACAGATCACGGATAGTGCACTTATAGTTGGTGAATGTGTGGATTCAAGATTGAAAGGTGATGAGCATGGTGTAATGTGCAAACTGGATATTAAAAAGGCTTATGATCAGGTAAATTGGATGTTCTTGTTGAACACCTCTCAGACAAATGCGTTTTGGAGAGAAGTGGTTGGGGTGGATTAATTTTTGCATCAGCACCGTCAAATTTTCTATTTTGGTGAATGGTGAACCAGTGGGCTTCTTCCCTTCCGAAAGGGGACTTAAACAGGGTGACCACCTATCCCCCTTTCTTTTTAGTTTGGCAATGAAAGGTTGACAGCTTGATGAGAATAGCAATTCAAAATAGGTGGATTAAAGGTTTTCAGATAGAGGGTAGCAATGGACAAGTTAAAGAAATCTGTCATTTTATATATGCAGATGAAACTATCATTTTTTGTGAACCTCAGGAGGACCAGCTAAGATTCATCAAAACAATCTTACTGTTTTTGAAGTTGCCTCAGGTCTGAAAGTGAATTGGGGAAAAGGCAATTGGAGGTGGCCAACATTTAGAATCTTGTAGATATTCTGGGATGCAAAGTGGAGAATACGCCTACAGCTTACTTAGGCAGGCCTTTAGGCAATAAACACAAATAAATAGATCTTTGGGATGGTTTTGTGGAGAAAACATCAAGGAGATTAGCAAGATGGAAGGCTCAATGTTTGTCTCTGAGAGGCAGACACACCCTCATCAATTCAGTGCTAGACTCCGTTCCTACTTATGTCATGTCATTATTCCCATTACCTGCCAAAGTTTTGAAGACACTGGACAGATTAATGATGGACTGACTTTGGCATGGATGCAAAGAAATTAAAGGTTATAACTGGTCAAATGGGAGATAAGTTTTAACATAAGAGACAAAGGGGGTTTAGGTATCAGAGATTTGAGGAAACAAAACAAAAGTCTTTTGATGAAGTGCTTATGGAGATATAATGAAGAGGGACAAGCCTTATGAAAGGATGTCATCAGATCCCAAGTATGGTGAGCACAATTCTTGGTGCAGTAATATTAGTGTTTGATGCCTATGGGGTGAGGGTCCGAAGAACTATCGGATACATATGGACAAAACTTGAAGCTAATATGTACATTGAAGTGGGAGATGGTTGGAGAACTAAATTCTGGGCAGTTACCCGAACAAACAGATCCTCTAAAGGAATCCTTTCCAGATCTGTTCTTACTATGATCTTACTATGTAGTTAATCCAAATGTCAATGTCAATGAATGTTGGACAACACGGGTGTAATCTGGTTTCAGAAGGCTTTTGAATGACTGAGAAGTGGAGACATTTTCCAAATTGCTAGAGCTATTTGAAAAATTTCCTGGCACCAGCAGTGCAGTGCTTTTGATTCTTTGAGATGGAAACATAGTAATGATGAGGCTTTCACTGTTAGCAGGGCATACAAAATGGAAAGCCCCCAGCGAAGCAGCTGTCAGTAGAGTGGAGAAAGGTATGGAGAAACTTAGCACCAACTAAGGTAAATTGCTTTACATGGTTGGTTGCTAATAGGGCTTGCCTGACACATGAAGTGTTGAAGTGAAAGAAAAAGTTATAGTATCTTGGAATTCATTATATAGAAAGGCAGAAGAGCAACAAGCATCTATTCTTGCGTTGCAACTTTACAACACAAATTTGGGCCATCTTCCTTAGTCTCACAAAGACAAATTGGACCATGCCTGAGCATATTGTAGACTTGTTGAGTTGCTGGATAAGTAGAGGGAAGCAAGGGCCAAAAGGCATGGTGGAGGATAATTCCACACTGCATTTGGTGGACAGTAAACAAAGGAACAATAGAAACTTTGAAGATAGGTCCGATTCCATTTAGAAGGTTAAATGGCATTGTATTGTATTTTTCCATGTTTGATGTAAAGAGAAAGGTTTAGAGGAAAGAGAACTGATTGTAGAATTATTAGGATCTTTGCAAATATTTTTCTCTTTTCCTTTTGTTCCTCTCTGTTTTTTGAAGGTCGCCAGCATATCTTTATTGCTGAAGAATACAACATTACCATTTTCCAAAAAAATGATGTAGGGAATATTCAATATTCTAATGGAGGCTTCAAATCCTTGGGAGCCCTATTCTTGATTTTTACAAAATGAATTGTCTCTAGAGTTTGTAACCATGCACTAGTCGAACAACCCATGCTACCAAGATTTAGTTCTTAGTACAAGATTTCTTGAATTTGCTATTTGTTTCCATTCTTCTGATCTCATGACTACTCTCTAAAGGTGAACTGTCATGATTTATTAATACTTTCAAGTGTTTGAGGATGTGATATCTTGTTCTAGTTATTTTGTGGATTATGAATATTTAGGGTTACCAAATCAATGATGCTCATATTTCCCTCTTTTGGTTCTCAAGTAGGGACTGCCTAGGAGCTGGTGGTCCAGCATTAGATATATATGAAATGTGAGACCTCCAAGACTCATCATAGCCAACTATTATATGAAGAATTGATGTTCTACATGTATTGTGCCACCACCTGTGAGGTAAACGATGCCATGAAAATGTGAGAACTAGAAAAACCTGAGGTCCAAATGGTATCTCATAGTGGTTTGAAAGTGTCTTGGGAGAGATTGAATTAGTATGGCTAACCAAGCTATTCAATGTTACAGTATGGGGTAGAAAGGTGCAAAAGGAGTGGACAAAGAGTACCTTTTTGTCTGTATATAAGTACAAGGATATCCCAAGAAGTGGATAACTTACGAGTCATACAATGTAACTTTTGGAAAGAGTGATAGAGTGTAGAGTTGGGCACATTACAAAGACATAACTATTTTAGATTTAAGCTCGATAGATCTACAACATAATTTATATTTTGTTAAGAAGATTGTGGGAAAATGATTAGAAAAAAAGAAGTATTTACAAAGTGGTATATTCATTGACATAGAGAAAGCATATGATAGAGTGCTGAGAAAAGTCCTTTGTTTTGAGAAGGTAAATTATTTTTTTGAGAAGGCGAGAAAAGTCCTTTGTTGGAGAAGGAACTAATTGATAAATATAGAAGATCTGTGCGAGAGCGCGGTCACAAATCTAAAAACAATGAGAGGAGATACAGAGGTGCTTCCCAGTGATGTGCATTTACAGTAGGCCTTTGCCTTGAGCTTGTATTTTTGAACTTTGTTGCGAATGAAATAATACAAGAGATGAGGTTTTATGGTGCTATCTGCAGATTGTATCGTGTTAATCGACGAAACTGGCAAGGCAGTCGATCAAAAGTTAGAATTACGAAGAATCACTCTATAGAGTAACAATTTTAGAACTAGTAAAAGTAAGACTAATTGCCTGTTTGGCGAAACTTTTGGGAGGTCAGAAGTGCTTACTTTTTAGAAGGGAGGTGTTTGCCAAGCTTTTAAGAGAAGATAAGTGCTTTTAGGTAGTAGAAAAAAGTAGCTTTTCTCCAAAACTGCTTTTTTGAAAAGCACTTTTGAGAAAGTACACTTAAAAGCAGTTTTTAAAAGCTTGGCTAAACACTACTTGCTGCTCAAAAGTGTTTTTCAAATTGATTAGCCCAACACAAACGGCTTCTCACTTGTGGTCCAAATAGGGTAGAATAGATATAGATGATTTGTATTGCCAGCCTTGACCAGTTTGGCCTTGACGAAGAGTTGATTGACAAGATTTATTGAATTTTGAAACTTCACCTTACTCAAAAAAAAAAAAAAAAGATTTATTGAATTTTGGATGATTTGTGAAGAAGTACTCCTATTGTTTAAGGGTCCATCTTTAGAAACATATCTACTTTTTTTTAAAAAATTAAAGAAACATATCTACTTTTCCCTAGTTTCTATGAGCTGATTTTTAATTATTTTAAAAATTGCTACTGGTTTTATCAGTAAATCATTTTCACAAGTTATTCCCAAAACCTTTTAGCTTGTTTGTGTTCAAGGGAACAGAACTTGATTAAACCTGTTCTTCATTTTATGGAATGACTTCTACAATGATTTGGTAAAAATATTACTCCTACTTCCAATTTCAAATTTATTTTTTTTACTCCTGCTAGCTTGTATCATTGGTTAGCTGATTAGAAGCTTTATGCAAGATTTCATTGTTGTGGAGGTTGGAAGAAACCAAGCCGTTGTTTAGCAGTCTACAACTCAGAAAATTCGACCAGAACCATGAGGATAAATACTTAACTTTTTCCCGTGAGAGAAAGATGAGCATTAAATAAACCTTCCACTTCCAAAGTAAAGATGATCCAACCACCACCAGACCTCCAGTACAAGACAAATATATTGCTGGAAATAAACCATATCAGATGAATGTAGACTTGTGGAAAGTTATTTCTTTTCTTTTTCTTCTGAATATTCTCTGAAGTATACAACAGTCTCAACTGTTGGATGGTAATGCAACATCTTGAACTTTGCATAAATACATGTTGCCGAACAACATTGCATGTTATAGTTCTCCCTTTGAAATAAATAGTCTTTTTAATGTATCAGGTGATTGTTATAATCGTGGAGAAAGAATAGACACCTCTAAATTTGGGGCTGATCCAGGCTTCGCAGCAGAAAATATTTCCTCAGATGTGGATGTATCCTTGTCTAAGGAAACAACTCCTGCTCGAACTTACCGCTGCAAGAAATGCCGGAGAGTTGTAGCACTGCAGGGGAATGTTGTGGATCATGTTCCAGGAGAGGGCGAGATGGCATTTGAGTGGCATAAAAGGAAAAGTGGCAATCCTTTTAACAAACCTGATGAGGAGTGTTCATCTGTCTTTGTTGAGCCTTTAAAATGGATGAGGACAGGTACAGCATACT